GGGTTGTGAGGGGTGCAGGGCCGGGTCGTGAGGGGTACAGGGCTGGGCACAGTATCTTTTTGGTGTGCATCAGAGGTCGCTATGAGTTGGAACCGACTCGATATATGTAACAAGAGCAGCAACAAGGTCAATTCAACTCTGGCAAATTTTGTCCTCTGTGATTCTACTTAGGAGCCCTAGAGGCACAGTGGGTAGTGCTGGGCTCCTAACCAAAGGGTTGGTGGTTCAAACCCACCAGCACCTCCATGGGAGAGAGATGAGGCTGTCTGGTCCCCTCAAGCTGTACGGTCTCAAACATCCTCCGGAGTAGTTTACTCTCTTCTACAGGGCGGCTATGACTCAGAATTGACTCAGTGGGAATGGGTTTGGTTTGGGTTTGGTGATTCTGTTTATATTCTGCACAGACATTTTAGCATCTGGCCTGCTGGTAATTCTGGCTGGTGTGTCTCTCTGACCATAGTATAGAACATTAGTAAGGAGAAGCATTTACACTATTTCCTGCTTCATACCCACCATGCAGAGGACTTTACTGCCACATAGTGGGCTCTGAGCAAGTGTTTGTTGAATGGCTAGATCAATCTTGAATGTAACCATTTAAGCCAAGTCACAGAAGAAAAACAGGTTTTCTAACTCAGCTATGTAAAATCGGAAAGCTGCAGTTTTGTTGGGAAACGGAATGGCTGTCCCAAAGACAAGGGCCCAACAGGTGATGCTACTGAGAAGAAAAATCAAAAGTAGCAAAAATCATTTCAGTGAAATAAAAAGCACAAAGTCTTATGCAGACTCTTTTTGAGGTGTTTTGCTGTCTCTCTGAAAACAGAGCGCTGGAAATCTGTGGCTCTAGATAAATTCACAACAGGTTTTCAAACTGAAGATCGTCGCCCATAGTGAGCTTTGACATCAATTTAAAAGCACTGCAAAAAAGAGGAGAAAAGATCCACATACTTCCAAACAGATAAAGATGTCATTCCAAGAAATGCTTTCAGAGGTCACATATAAGTACACACACACACACACACACACACACACACACGAAATGTTTGCCCTGATTACAGCGAGAGACGGCGTTCTGACTGCAGCTTATGCATGACAATGTTGAACCAGTTTGGTTCAGGCCTTCATTCATCAAATTATTGAAAGCGTTCACAACACTCAGCGAGGTGACTCATATCACTCTCACCTTCAATCAGCCCCTGAAACTAGCACTAGGGGGTGTGGCTGTGGCTTTGGAAGTGTGAACAGGCTGCAGCTGCCAAATCCTTCAAGGGGAAAGAGCTGCCTGACTCCTGTGGAACACCTCCAGAGAGATTTTATTTTCTCTTTTTGAAAAGTCTATCTCAGAAGTAGACATAGGAATCCTCATAGAAACGTAGTGTTTCATTACAGAAATAATATGCTCCTCCCTTGAAGAATGTTCAAACCCAGCAGCCACTCCTTAGAACTCTATAGAGGGTTGCTATGAGTCAGAACGGAGTTCTGATGTGGCACTGTGGGCTAATGCGTCAGACTGCAAAGTCGTATGAACTGCAAGGTCAGTGGTTCAGGCTCACCAACTGCTCCTTGGAAACCCTATACAGGGTCGCTATGTGTCAGAATCAACTCGATGGCACTTAATAACAACAACATGAGTCAGAACTGACTCAACACTACTTATCATCAACAACATAGAATGTTGCAGGACAGCCACAGAGAAAGCATATTACTTAGTACAATCAGAAATATAATGCTTAATTATTTTCCTAGGATGTGGCTCAAGTGCACTGACACAAATACACTCAGCACAAAATCACCTAAGAAAGTCGAACTTGGTTAGGGGGTCAGCGGAAGACCTGAATTGTTGCTGATTCTAGTTTGCGCGCCATGACGCAGGAAGACACAGGAGCCCTCTGCATGTTCAGTAACTCACTACGTAAGTCAACAAATATGGACACGCACCTCCCAGGTATGAGAACTGTTCTAGGCCCTGAAGAGACAACAATAAACAAACCAGATCCAAGTCTTTCAGTTCAGCAGATAGCTTTCTAGTGGTAAAGACAGGTAGGAAGTAGACAAACACTCTCTATGTGACAAGACTGGGCAAAGAGAGTAAGACAGGATGGTATTTTATATAGGGTGGATGCACAAGGCTTCTTTCATGACGTTAAAACTGAGCAGAGACCTAAAGGAAGGGCGGAAAGGGGCCAGGTCAAATTGTATGCCAGGCAGAGAGAGAGCAGATGAAGGGTCTGAGGCACAGTTCTATAGTCCTGTTTAGATTCCCACGGCCTTATATGGATTTTCCGAGGAGCAACTGGTGGGTTTGACACACCACTTTGTAGTTCAAATCGACCTTGCAGTCCAGTGCCATACCAGGACAGTTTTTATAGTAGGCAGAAAAATGGTCCCACCAAGATTTCTAAATCCTAATTCCCAAAGCTAAGAATATGTTAGGTTACATGGCAATGGTATGTGGTTCTGTAGGAAAAACACTGGACTGGTAGCCATAGGTCGTCAGTTCAAACACTCAAACCTATACAAGGTCACTGTGAGTCAGCATCAACTTGAAGGCACACAAGAATAAAACCTCAAAATAGGAATATTACCCTACAATATGCAGTGTTCGAAAGCACTCCAAAAGGGTCCTTAAAGTGGGAGGAGCAGGAGAGTCAGATATATGACTACAGAAAGGACACAGGGATACAGTGGAGCTGGCTTTGGACTTGGAGGACAGAGCACACACAGCAAGGGCTCTGGCAGCCTCAGGGTCAGCAGTTCGAAACTACCAGCCGTTCCATGGGAGAAAGATAAGGCTTTCTGCTCCCATAAAGATGTACAGTCTCGGAAACCCTGTACAGGGTCGCTATTAGTTAGAACTGACTGCACTGCACATAACCACCAACCACTACCATGGAAGGAAACTGTATTTCCCCTACAGACTCCAAAGGATAGCAGCCCAACTGATAGATTTATTTTCACATAGTGGAAACAATGTTTAACTTATCTATTTTAGAAAGGTAGGTAATTAATTTGTGTTGCCTTAAACCACCAAATTCGTAGGAATTTTTTTATAGCAAGAACAGGAAATGAATTCCACATTGTTGGTACAGCTGAGACACAAGGACAATGAGGCAGGAGCACAGAAAGCAGAGGGAGAAGATACACAGTCTACTCAGAATGGGAGACGAGCCTGTAGGATGCTATGAGCCACGTTAAGAAGCTTTCATTCTAAGAAACGGTAAGAAGCCGTCATAGGCTTGGAGTAGAGCAATGTCTTAATTGCATTTGCATTCCCCGTGGATGACTTTGGAGGCTCAAGACAGTTCAGGAGGAGAACCGTGCAAACAAGGCAATTAGTACACAGGTTTATGGACTAATCCAGGAGAGAGTTTTGGTAGTTTGGTTAAGGGTGAAGGCAACTGGGGAGGCAGAGAGTAAAACACACGGACAAACATCTACACAGGGAGGCAGTCCTGATCTGCGTTTCCTTCCCTTTAGACTGCTGTTTGCATCATCCAAAGCCTTTTTCTCTTTGTAAGTGGATTAGATTGTTTTAAAGGGCTGGAAGCCTGTGAAAATGAAAATGAACACAGTACAGGTGCAGGCCAATGGAAAGTCAGATTCCTCATGTGTTCCTGGAGTCCTGGTGTGGCGCTGGAGGATACGCACTGCACTGCTAACCACAAGGCTGGCAGCTCAAACCCACCAGTCGCTTCTCAAAAACCCTGTAAAGAGTCTCTTATGAGTTGGAACCAACTCAATGGCCCTTAACAACAAAAATGCACACTCATCAAGTGGACCAAAACAGCATTTTTGAGACTTTTTTTGTAATGGTTGCTTGAAGAAATATCATTAATTTCAAGACCCATATGTTAAAGTACAAGTTGATTGACTTCTAAACAAATGCCCGTTGTTGTTGTTATGTGCCGTGAAGTCGGTTCTGACTCATAGCGACCCTGTGTAGGGTTTCTGAGAAACAGCTGGTGAGTTTGAACTGCTAACCTTGCAGTTCAAACTGACCTTTATGGTCAAGTGCTTATTCTATAGCGCCACACCAGGACTCCAAAACTAATGTCTACTTTTATGAAACCTCCTGCTTATTCGCACACCACGCATGCAAACTACCGGAGTTTGTGCTGAGATGTCCTCTGTCCTACCTAATGAACGCTGACCTTTTCTACTCTGTCTTATTTCAGAAAAAACTGTTAGCAGGAGACTCCGTTTCCAAAACTCAAGTGACCATTTCAAAACCTTTATATGGGAGGAGGCTGTCCTCACCCACTGAGACCAGGTTCCGGAAGTTCTCCACCATCACATCTCGGTACAGTCTCTTCTGGGCGGGGTCCAGCAGCTCCAGCTCCTCCTCAGTGAAGACCACAGCCACGTCCTTGAATGTCACCGATTCCTACAACATCAAGCACAAGTATACCCTGCCTTAGAGCCAGTTGGGAAGAAAGGGGGAAAATGTTCTCTGTTCTGAGAAACTTGAGTTAATTTATAGGTTTCCCTGATGTCCCCCTTCTATCCTGACAATGTCATACTCCAATTGTCCTTAGCTTCACCCCGAGTGAGGCACTGAGTTGTTGTTATGTGCCGTGGAGTCAGTTCCAACTCATAGTGACCCTGAATTGGGTTTCCGAGGCTGTAAATCTTTACGGGAGCAGAAAGCCTCATCTTTCTCCCGTGGAACAGCTGGTAGTTTCAAACTGTGAGATTAGCAGCCCAATTCGTAACCACTATACTACCAGAGGCACCGAGTGAGAACCCTTATATTCCTACTTCTTGTCCTCGGAGTAAACCTCTAGAACTCTAGATGTTGCATGCTAGGACACGCATGAATGATATACCTTCTGATTCATACTGTCACTTGTCTCAGAAAGACGGTCAGTTCATTTTCAATAGTTTGATAGCATGAGTCCTGGTGTGGTGCTGTGGGTTCATGCGCTGGACTGCAAAGTTGGTTTGAATCACAAGGTCAGCGGTTCAAGCTCACCAGCCACTACTCGGAAACCCGATACAGGGTCGCTATGGGTCAGAACTGACTTGACGACACTCACCAACAACAACCACCATCCTCCTACCACACACAGGGACTCTGGTAGGACTTTTCTGTCATAGTTGTAAAACTAATAAGCCTTTGGTATCCTGTCATGGGCAGGTACGTAGGGCATCCTCTCAACTTTCAAGGTACACAGCCCATCTACAAATTCCAACCTCTAATGTACTGAGTTGTAGCTACCATGTTGGGTATATATTCCTAAGAGGTGACCCTTACTAGCCACTACTTAGGTGACTTTATACAAATTTTCCTACTTAACCTTAGTTTCCTCTTTGTATAATGGTTGAGTGGCCTATGCAACACAAGCTTCTTTTGAGGATAAACCAGAAAGTACATATACATATATGAGGGGATTTCAAATACTTCATGGCTAAGTTGAATTAACAGCATGGATTTTTCCACAAACTTTTTGAAAGCCCCATGTATGTATAAACATATATATACATTATCATAATTTCATGGACTTTAATCCATCTCATGACTACATATTTCTCCAGGTGGGAAACAAGAGTTCGTTGACTTTTGTCCTGGGTTCCTGGACCCTTGTAATTTACTCCTGATGGTCCCCTGTGATCACAGCTGGAAGTTTAGGCTAATAAGAGGACTTAAGACTGGTGCTGACCACATCAGAAAGACCACCATCTGAACAGAGGTTTAGCGTTTTGACTCACATAATACCACCACAGCGTCTAGGACAGGAAGGTGGCTTGATTTTGAGTTCAATCAAGTGACTTCGAGTCAATTAATCATACTTATGATACGGAACCTCAACAAACATTTTGGATAGCAAACACAGATAACCTTCTCTGGCTGACAATATTCGTATTGTTGTACACTGATGTTGTCAGTAGTGGGACGTGTCCCTCAAAACAAGGGAAGCTTCCCAACTACACTGTGCCTTTTGGACCTCGCTCTATGCCTCTCTCCCTTTGGCTGGGTTTGACTTAGAACCTTTTGCGGTCATAGAACTGTTTGTATAATATTTCTTGAGTTCTGTAAGATATTTTAATTATTAAACCCAACATAGTAAAAAATCCCATATTTATAGTTATTACATTACAAGGGAGGATGGTGCCAAATTTCCAGTGTGTGTCTGATATAAGAGCAGTCTTGTGGAGGGCTTTGACCTTAAACTGTTTGTTGTTCTCAAGGAGCAGCTGGTGAGCTTGAACCAGTGACTTTGCAGGCCAACCCGTTGACCCACAGCGCCACACTTTGGCTTAATTCCAGGTAGCTGGTATCAGAACGGATCTGTGCCACAGAACTGATGGTCTCCTATTTATCATTTCCCAAAAAACGCATAATGTCATTGTCTGTAGATTTTAATCTCTTGTAATATCATTTCAGATAAATTTCAAGTGAAAAGTAAAATAGCAAAAAATTCACACAGTTCAAGTTGTGAGCATAGAATGACAAATTTTCTTCTTTTTTACTCATCTTTTAAGAGAATGTAAGTATTCCTGACAGTGTTTCTCTGCTGTTTATAAGGTTTTCAGTGACTAAATATTCGGAAGTAATTCATCACTCCTTCTTCCTAGTCTTCTTGGAGGCCAGGATGGCCAAACTTCATCTCTCATACTTCAGACATGTTGTCAGGAGAGACCAGTTACTGGAAAAGGATATCATGTTTGGTAAGGTGGAGGGTCAGAGGAAAAGAGGGAGACCCCAGCGAGGTAGATTGGCAAAGTGGCAGCATCGATGGGCTCAAGAATGGCAACAGTAGTGAGGTTGGCCCAGGATCAGGTGGTGTTTCGCTCTGTTGTGCACAGGGTCGCTGTGAATCGGTACCGACTCAATGGTATCTAACAGCAACCGCAGTACTACTGAATCTAGACAAGATGGCATGTTGTTGCTGTTGTTGTTAAATGCCGTGGAGTTGATTCCAACTCAGAGCGACCCTGTATTGGGTTTCCAAGGAGCAACTGGTGGGTTTGAGCCACCCAACCTTGCAGTTCAAACCCACCTGTGGTCTAGTGTTTATCGGACAGCACCACACCAAGGCTACAGATGGTACAGCAGGTTCACATGCTTAATACCCTTTTGGAAATCTGATCAGAAAATACAATTGATTTTTATAATTCTTATATATTTAACTATAAATGAATACTATAATCTTTTCATAAGGAGCTCTGGTAGCGTAGTGGTTACGAATCGGGCTGTGAACCGCAAGGTCAGCAGTTCGAAACTACCTGCTGTTCCATGGGAGAAAGATGAGGCTTTCTGCTCCCGTAAAGATTTACAGCCTCGGAAACCCTGTACAGGGTCGCTATGAGTCGGTTCCAACTCCACAGCACATAACCACCACCATAATCTTTTCATATAGTCATTGGCATCTCCATTTCTCCTTTTAAACATGTTGATGCAAGACCTGCTAAATGAAGAAAAGACTGAAGTTGTCAAAGACTTCATTTTGCTTGGATTCACCAACACTCATGGAAGCAGCAGTCAGGAAATCAAATGACATATTGAATTACACAAATCTGCTGTACTAGACCTCTTTAAAGTCTTCAAGAGCAAAGAATTGAGGAGTAAGGTGTGCCTAACCCAAGCCATGGTATTTTCAATAGCCTCATAGGCATGTGGAAGTTGGACAATGAATAAGGAAGACTGTAGAAAAATTGATGCAATTGAGTTATAGTGTTGGAGGAGAGCACTGGACCGCCAAAAGAACAAACAAATCTGTGTTGGAAGAAATGCAGCCAGAATGCTCCTTAGAAGCCAGAATGGATGGACTTCGTCTCTCATGCTTTGGACATATTAGGAGGGACCAGTCATTGAAGAAGGACATTATGCTTGGTAAAGTGGAGGGTCAGCATCAAGAAGAGGAAGACACCAATGAGATGGAATGACACAGTGGTAGCATAGCAGTGATATTTCATCCTGTTGTACCTGAGGTCACTACGGGTCAGTACCCACTGCACGGCCCCCACGCGAGAATGACGCATGACCTTTGCCTACATTCCTGCTGGTATTTCTCTTTATACAACGACCTTGACATAGTTCTAGAATCAATCTTAGGTCTTTTTTGGCATACACAAGAGGACTCCCCAGAGTGTGCGTGGAAAATACCATAATGATTTAATTCCACTTTCCCATGACCTTTTTAAACTCTCCTTGTATACAAGTAAACGTTTCCACTCAAAGTAATTCTTTTTTTCTTATAAAATTGTATAATGTTTTGTTTTGCTTTTTTTAAAAATTTCATATAAAACCCAAACAAATCTTTGTGCTTGATTGGATGGTGCTCTGAGCCCCTCAGTCACATGAGGAGTTTGCCACCCGGAAGAGAAGAGATGCACAGTGCAGGGAGGGTTGGGAAGAAGCATCAACTGAGGAAACCATCATGAAGCACCATACTCCAGGAGTCCACCGAACTGCACATAGGTCCCATTACGTATAGTTCCTTGTCTCTCTTCTTGTCTTCCTCATTCACTGAACAGAATGCCTAACTCACCTGACCTTTTGGTTTCCTGTGGGAAGCTGAGCAGGTCTCTTATAGCCCACCTGTTCAAAATGCGGAAGAGACCAAGTATCTTATCACTGTGCAACACTGAGGAATAAACACACAGACAGAATGCTAGTGCCTAGTGAATCTTTTAGTATTAGCCTAGTATGTTTTAAAATAGGGGGGAGGTATTAATTTGACAACATAGCAAGAATAGATTAGTAAATAAAACACATAGAAGGAAAGACTCCGCCATGGGAAAGCAGAGTCGATCTACCAAATAGCCACTGTGGTGGTGGTGGTGTGCCATGGAGATGGAGTCGGTTCCGACTATTAGAGACCCTGTATGGCGTTTCCAATTAAGAGCCTCATCTTTCTCCTGGGGAGCGGCAGATGAGTTTGAACTGCCGCTCTTGTGGCTAGCAGTCCAGTGCTTATCCTACAGTGCCACCAGTCCTCCTTCCAATCTGAGTCATCGTTGTTGGTAAGTGCTGTCGAGTTGGTTCCGACCCATAGCGACCCTGTACAGGGTTTCCAAGGCTATAAATCTTTACGGGAGCAGAAAGCCTCATCTTTCTCCTGTGCAGCAGCTAGTAGTTTCGAACTGCTGACCTTAAGGTTCGCAGCCCGATTTGTAACCACTACGCTACCAGAGTTGGAGTAGTGAGAAGGAATTTTAAGACTAAAAAGGTAAGCCCACTCACCATGAATGCTGTCATTTTTCTTCCGACTTCTGGTGACGGCGAGTCTTCAAATAGGCAGAATCCTGGCAAAGCCAAACTAGGGAAGGAAAAGAGAAACATGAACAGGTGGCCGGGGACTCCTCTCTCCTTGGTGTATGCTTACTATGACACAGCAGTGAGGCCCCTTCATCTGGGTGACTGGAGTTACACCCATCTTG